GCAGAAGGAAAGGGACACAAGGGCAGGGACACCGGGAGAGCTCCGGGACAAGGACAGGGACACCGGGAGAGCTCCGGGACAAGGGCAGGGACACCGGGAGAGCTCCGGGACAAGGGCAGGGACACCGGGAGAGCTCCGGGACAAGGGCAGGGACACCGGGAGAGCTCCGGGACAAGGGCAGGGACACCGGGAGAGATCCGGGACAAGGACAGGGACACCGGGAGAGCTCCGGGACAAGGACAGGGACACCGGGAGAGCTCCGGGACAAGGGCAGGGACACCGGGAGAGCTCCGGGACAAGGGCGGGGACACCGGGAGAGATCCGGGACAAGGGCAGGGACACCGGGAGAGCTCCGGGACAACGGCAGGGACACCGGGAGAGATCCGGGACAAGGACAGGGACACCGGGAAAGCTCCGGGACAAGGGCAGGGACACCGGGAAAGCTCCGGGACAAGGGCAGGGACACCGGGAGAGATCCGGGACAAGGGCAGGGACACCGGGAGAGCGCCAGGACAAGGGCAGGGACACCGGGAAAGCTCCGGGACAAGGGCAGGGACACCGGGAGAGCTCCGGGACAAGGGCAGGGACACCGGGAGAGATCCAGGACAAGGGCAGGGACACCGGGAGAGCTCCGGGACAAGGGCAGGGACACCGGGAGAGATCCGGGACAAGGGCAGGGACACCGGGAGAGCTCCGGGATACACACGCGGGAAAGCTCCAGGATTCACACACGGAAAACTCCGGGATGCACACGCGGAAAGCTCCGGGATGTACACACGGAAAGCTCCGGGATGTACACACGGAAAGCTGCGGGATAGACACACGGAAAGCTGCGGGATGCACACGGGGAAAGCTCCGGGACAGAGCCACGGAAAGCTGCGGGACAGAGACACGGAAAGCTCCGGGATACACGCGGGGAAAGCTGCGGAATGCACACGCGGAAAGCTCCAGGATGCACACACGGAAAGCTCCGGGATGCACACAGGGAAAGCTCCGGGATACACACGGGAAAGCTCCGGGATACACGTGGGAAAGATGCGGGATACACACACGGAAAGCTCCGGGATGTACGCACCGGGAAAGCTGCGGGATACACGCGGGAAAGCTGCGGGATGTACACACGGAAAGCTCCGGGATGTACACACGGAAAGCTCCGGGATACACGCGGGGAAAGCTCCGGGATGCACACACGGAAAGCTGCGGGATGTACACACGGAAAGCTGCGGGATGTACACCGGGAAAGCTCCGGGATGCACACCGGGAAAGCTCCGGGACACCGCGGCAGCACCAGGAGAGGGCGAACGACTCCGCCTGCCGAGGAATCGCCGCTGTCAAGGCCGGTCCCAGCGGGAATCAGGGACCCAGGACAGACCCACGGTACCCGCGACAGACTCAGGGAATCCCAGAACAGCTGGGCTTGGAAAGGACCTCTGGAGATGATCTGGGACCTCTGCAGGGTCACCCGGAGCAGGTGACACAGGAACCGCCCAGGTGGGCTTGGAATGGCTCCAGTGAGGAGAATCCATCACCTCCCTGGGCAGCTCTTCCAGGTTCTGCCTCCTTTTCTCCATGGACAGACACAAGTTGTGCCTCCTGTGCAGGGAATTGCTGGGCTCAGCCCCTGCCCGTGGCTCTGGGGCCATCGCTGGGCCTGGGGCAGAGCCTGGGGCTGCTCTGACCTCCTGCACACAGGGACAGCCAGGGACACACAGGGACACACAGGGACACACAGGGACAGACTGGGACACACAGGGACACACAGGGACACACAGGGACACGCTGGGACACACAGGGACAGACTGGGACACACAGGGACAGCCAGGGACAGACTGGGACACACAGGGACACACAGGGACACACAGGAACACACAGGGACACACAGGGACACACAGGGACACACAGGGACACACAGGAACACACAGGGACACACAGGCACACACAGGGCTCAGGCCCCTCTCACTGGGGCTCTCTCCAGGCTGAGCAGCCCCAGCTCCCTCAGCCTTTCCTGGGCCCGGAGCTGCTCCAGGCCCTTGCTCAGCTCCAGGAGCTCCTGGCCCTGCTGTGCTGAGGAGCCAGAGCTGGACACAGCACCCAGAGGTGCCCCCAGGGCTGGGCACAGCACCCAGAGGTCCCCCAGAGCTGGACACAGCACCCAGAGGTGCCCCCAGGGCTGGACACAGCACCCAGAGGTGCCCCCAGGGCTGGGCACAGGGGCAGGGGCACCCCTGACCCGCTGGCAGTGCCCATCCCGATGCTCCCCAGGCCAGCCCTGGCCCTGGCCCGCTCGGTGCCCGCGGCTCTGTCGCGACATACGAACCCCATCGCGATAGACTTTCCCAGCGCGCTTCACCCTCACGTCCAGCGCCGTCCCCATCGCCGACACGTGACCGCCGCCTCACGCGGCCCCGCCCCATCCGGGTCCTCGCGCCGTCACTTCCCGCGCGGCCCCGCCCACCGTCCCCGTTGTCATAGCAACGCGCGGGCGGGGTGCTGACGCACCGCCGTCACCCGGCAAAAACTACAAAACCCGGCGTGCTTTGCGCGCGCCGGCAGCGCTCACTGCAAGCCGCGGCGCCGCGTGGGCTGATGGGAGTTGTAGGCGCGGCCTCAACCGCAGGGCGGTGAGAATGGGAGGCCGGGAAAGGCCTCGCTGTGCTGAAATTCATCCCTCAGAGCGCACTGCACAGCCGCAAACACCGATATGAACGAGCAGCGAACTTGTCTCCGCTCTCTGTCCCCAGAGGTTCCCGCAGCCTGTCCCATAAATGCAGGAAGGCCTTGCGAAGTGGGCAGCGAGGAATTTCGCCTTAAAAACCCGGAGCACGGAAGCGCTCGGGGTGGGGATGTCCCAGTGCTGAGGGAAACGCTGCGATCTCTTCCAGGTGTGGAATTCCTCACATGGAATTCCCCTGATTGCAGCGCAATCCGGACTCGTCCCTCCGTGGAAGTGTGAAAAATCCATATTTGATGATTGGCTTTTCGCAAATATTACAATGAATATTATATGTGTAATGTTAGAAAGTTATGCTGTATTAATTCTCTTAAGTAGGGTGTTAAATATAGTTTTAGGTTCCAACATAATGTTAAAATAGAGACTATGTATGTGGGAGAAGTTTTTTTTTAGGAATTAGATACTCTCTTTGAGGAACACCTAAATCTTCCAAAGGAGAGGAATTTATGGTTTTCTTATCAGAAGAAACTAATTTCTTCAGACCTTACTCGACTCGAAGATGCCGTGGGGATTAAAGGAAACAGTTGGCATACAACAGACAGAGTTCTTGTTTTAAATAAAATGTATCCATGAAGGATATATGAATATGCAACAGGCTATTGCTTTTAAGGTTATTCCTTTGTTCACAAGAGATGTTCTTTGTGACTTAGTGTCCGAGAGCATCCGGACATCCGTAATTCTTTGCTTTTTATTGCCTTGTAATTGCCCTAACTCTAAACTTTATTACTCTAATTGTATTACTATTTTTATAAACATTTCATTATTATTAAACTTTTAAAATTTTAAAAACCAAGTGATTGGCGTTTTTCACATGAAGGAAATCTCCTCAGCCTTCAGTACCCAAATCCATCCATGTCCCTTCCTCCTGGAGTGCCTATGGAGAACCTGGCAAAACCCACTGCATGCTCCAGTTTTGGGACAAAGAAGTCAGATATCAAATTGTCCCACATTTCAGGGAAGAGAGGGAAAGTGGTCATTGCAAAAAGAAAGGAGCATTTAACTGGGATCGCTGATTATTACTGGCGGGACTCAGGTAGCTAATTGCTGTCATTATTTAGTGTGGGGCAGATAAAGAGGGATTTTTTTTGTTTTACTTTTTCCCCCATTCAAGGAGAACTCAAACGAGGAAAATAAAAGCTTGGACAGCACAGCTGCTGAGCATGTAGATTTTTTATTTTTTTTTTTCCCATCACTTTCACAATCGGCTGCTTTTCTTGGGAAACATTTTCCAAGGTACTTCAGTTACTCATTTCTAGGAACTGGAGCCTCGTGTCCAGGAAAAACTCCTGCTGCTGGAGGCAGGAGCTGCCCCTGTGCCTGGTAACACAGATCCCACAAACAAAGCAGGGAGCAGGCAAGGAACTGGTGTCCCAATCCTGCTGTGCACAGCTCAGTGCCTCTTCTGTAGAAAGAATCCCAGAAATTTTGGGTGGGAAGGGACCTCAAATCCCACCCAGTGCCACCCCTGCCATGGCAGGGACACCTCCCACTGTCCCAGGCTGCTCCAGCCCCAAATCCAACCTGGCCTTGGGCATTGCCAGGGATCCAGGGGAACCTGGGAATTCCATCCCAGCCCTGCCCACCCTGCCAGGTAGGAAAGTTTTCCTAATTATCTGATTTAAACCTGTAATTTTTCAATGTGAAGCCATTCCCTGTGTGCTGTCCCTCCATGCCCTGGAAATTGTCTCTCTCCAGGTTTCCTGGGGCTCCTCCAGGCCCTGTAAGGCCACCCTGAGCTCAGCCCAAAGCTTCTCCTGTGCAGGGGAACAATCCCAGCTGTGCCAGCCTTTCCTCCCAGCAGAGCTGCTCCATCCCTCTGCTCATCCTGGAGCCTCCTCTGGGCTCTCTGCAGCAGCTCCAGCTCCTCCTGGGCTGGGACAGGGCTGGGGCAGCTCTGCAGGTGCAGTAAATAAAATTATTTAAGGAACCCCAAAAAACAAAACCCACAAAAACCAACAAACACAAAAACCACACCAAAAAAACACCACAAAAAAAAAAAAACTCCAAACAACAACAACAACAAAAAAACCCAACCAAAACCCAAAAAACAAAAAACAAAAATACCCCATTCAAACAAAACAAACAAAAACCGAAGAAACAACAACAACCAAACAAAAACAAATTAACACACATGCACACAAAAACTCCTCAAATCAGAAAGCAGGAGGAATAAAACAATTATTTCAAGGAGAGAAATATCCCCTGAGAAATATCCTGGGCCAGGTAATCACTGTCAGCCCAGATGTCATGAAAGTGAATTCCCTTCCCACCTCCAGGCTGGGGGCCAATATTCCACTGAGAAGCCCTTTCCTCCTTTAGTTTTGATTTTCTGAAGGAATTTCCGTTCCCAAATGAAACCTACAATTGTCAGTCTCAAATTGCCCAAAAAAAAAATGAACCTAAACTGAAAACCAAGGAGAAAACTGTATGAACCTAGAATCATCCATACATTTGTTTTTGTTCCTGATTATCACAGAATCCTTGTGGAATGCTTTGGGTTGGAAGGGACTTTAAAGATCATCCAGTTCCCAACTTTTCTACCTGATTATTTCTGGGACATCATTTAACAAATAAATTTAAATTGTTTAGAATAATTCCATTTCTGTATTTACCTCCACCCAGAGCTGCAATGTATGGATTAATTGGTTTGGAGTGACAGCATTCCTCATTTGGAATAACCATAGGGAACCTGGGGTTACCCAAACTTTTTTTGGGTACCAGAACCTGTTTTTCTCGGGGGTTTTTTTTGGTTTTTTTATTAGTTTTGAAATCTTTGCTCAGAGGACAGTGGTGTAGAATCCCAGAATGGTTTGGACTAGAAGGGATTTAAGGAATTCAATGGGAGAAGTTCTATAGTTTATACAAAGTCATGACAAAATCTACATTTTTAAGGAGCTCAGAGATGATTGAGTCGAATAAAAAAATAATTTCAAATCTTGTTCACGTGTTGGACAATTTTGAGGTCATTCCATGGTTTCTAAAAGCACATTTGACAAATTGTATTTCAGAGCATCTGGGTGGAAAAGCTGTTCTTTAACACCAATGAGGGGGGAAAAGAAAAGTGATGCCCTGAAGAACAGGAAGTAAATTGAAATCCTTTTTTTTTTTGTGTAAAAATCAGCAAATCCCAGCTCTGCACCACATAAGTGGTGGTATTCCTGAAAGGAGGAAGGTAATAAAAAAAGAAATTAAAATCTTTGCACACATAGAGGGACTGTAGACACATTAAGTCTCACCAATATTTTCTAAAATGTTTCCCCACTGCACAGAAGTTTCATTTTCATTAAAAATTATGCTTTAAAGTATATCAGACTTCAAAGAACTAATGAGAAAATAATACAGAAAGCAGCAAAATAAACTTATTTATTCACATAGCAAGGTAGGAAAAGCTTATTGAGATGAAACAAAGTTGGGGAACATCCAGGAAAAAAAGTCTAAAGAAGGTGTTTAAATTGAGACAAGTACAATAAAAGGAAAAAATCCCATAAATTATAATAATATTGGTGAAGGATTTTCAAAGGTATTTAAGAATGAACTAATTTTCCAGCCAAAATACAGAGTTTTGAAGGGAATTCCCTCAGAGGAACTGTCATTAGATGCTTTAAAAAGGGCTTGAACTGACTGAAAATTGCACTGAGCTTCACTTGTCTCTCAAGAGAATTAGCCAGTAAGGAAAATAATGTTATAAAATATGTAGGGGTGACAAAAACACTGGATAAAACAAAACAAGTGGTTTAGACATTGGAAAAAAGTATATTTAGCAGGGAAATAAAATAATGACTGAATATCCTGAATAAAAATTATTAGGAATCAGAAAAAATATTAAATAATGAAATAATTAGGTATTAATTAGGTAATTTTTCCTGGTAAAGGTTGTTACTGGATGTTGAGAGATTCTGAATCTTGATGGACAAGTTGGTGTCTTTAAAAATGTTATGGTAAAAGAAACTCTTTACAAAATAGAGAATTTTGCAAGCTTGTGTGTAAGAACTGATGGATATGGAGGAACTGTTGGGAATCTGGCAGATAATCTATGGCAGGATACAGGTCTGCAGAATAAAACCACAAATAAATACAAAATAAATGCACATTCCAACTAAAACTTGTATATTCTGCCAGCAGCAATGAATTGTAGTGCACAGTGTTAAAAAAGGTGCTTTGTTAAAAGTATTTTCAAATAATATTAAATTAATAATGACAAGTTAATGTATGAAGTTGACTGACTCTCTGGGTGGTGATTCTGAGTGAATCCTTTGAAAAAGAATTTGGGATTTATGCAGATATTAAAAACATTGACAGATGTATTAAACAAAAATTGTGGTGCCCAACATTTATGTGGAAGCAAAGTTTTGTAGTGACCTCAAAGGGGACTGGAATAGAAAAAGAACTTTTTAATTATTTTTTTAAAATATTGATTTGGGACCAGGGGAAAAAAATATTCCAGTGAATGATCCCCACACCCTCAGCTGTTTATATTTTCCTGTGACATAAATAGCTTTTGAAACTCCAAGTGTAAGATTACAATTCATGGCTTAGTTTTTTTCCTCCTGGTTGTAAGGAGTGTGTAACTGGGGCTGCAGTGTGAGGTGTGCTAAGGGCAGCATATTTCCACCCTGATTGTTCAGGTGGTTGGAACTTCCTGAGGCAGTGAACACAGATTTTTAAATTTTTTTTTTTCTTGTCAAATAGGAG